CAGGTGTGCAAATGAATAGAACAATGCAGGCACAAGACTGCCCTATTCTGCCAATGTCCAAAGAAATCCAGCAAGGAGGTGGCTCACACATCAGTTACTCACAGCTCCCATTGTCTGCCCTCCAACGATATTAACTCTTTGCTATCTCTTTTCTCAGGAAACTCTCTGTAACAGGTTCCCTTAAAGTTTTCATTGACAAATTCCAAAGCTTATCTCAATTCAGTAATTTTGGAAAACAATTTAAAGCTTGACTGTTACTTATTCACTGCTCATTATATTGTCTGTGGAAAAAAACCAACACACTTTACTCTTCATTCACTGTCAGATGCCATCCCACTCTCAAGCTGTCACATTCATAGGAAGTTGCTGAAGTGAAGCTTCAAGGTTTGATTAGTTTTACATTTACATTTAATTACGGGCCAAGATTAAGAGGTAAGATACCTCCCTTATATATACACTAAGGAACACAGGCACCAAACTTCAGGAATGCAGTGTCTGAAGACAAGCCTCCTGGTGGCCACCCATCAGGCAGCCCAGCCCAAACCCAACCAACCTCCTCCCTGTACAGCACAATTAATAAAGAGAGGAAGCTGATGAGGAAAGGAGTGACTGGAAGACTGAGCAAGAGAAATTATGAACGGAATTCGATGTTGGGTTTAAACAAGTTATTTCTGGGAAAGAAAAAAACCCCAAGGTTTTCCAGTTATTGTATGTGACTCTACCACTTCCATTTTTATGATAACTGCTTTATAAAAACCTGCCTGTGGTCTGCTAGGACTTCTTTTTCCTGTACTGAACACCCTTTAAACCTTTTGATTAAACAAGTCAGCAGCCAGCGAATCCTTTTCAGGCAGGAACTTATCAGATACTAGCTGTTAGCTTAATCACCAGAGAGATCAATTCTTAATTTGACCGCTTTAGTTTACACTGCTAATTAAGTAACATTTCGCTTATTAGTTGAACCTAATCATTCCATTTGAATTAAGTCACAGTGTCGTGTCAGAACACAGTGCTGGGTTCTCCCAGGAACCATGGCTGGGTGTGGTAGCATACTTTGTTCTGCTCCTGCAGAGAGAAGCCCCACATGGAGATGGGGAAAGGCAATCCAGCTCAGGGCACCAGACCTCTCAGAAAGGCTGGAAAGGTGGGTTTAACATGTGTCTGACTGTCACCATCACAGGAGCTGAGCAGTTTTAACTCCTTGCAGACAAGCAGCCGACCCTGGGAGCAGGAAGTTGGTGGGTGGAACTCCTGACGCAATGCAAACCGAAGCAGTTGCAGCTTAGTTTAATACAAACCCTCTTGAGTCCACGTTGACAAATTCTTTAACAAGCCCTGTGGTTACAGGGAAGCTGGTTTCAGTCTGAGTCACTCCTGTTCAAACAGTTTACTGGAAATGGAGGGGAGGGGGAATTTTCAGAGAAGTCATGTGATGGCCAGACAAACCACAACCAGTAAAGGTTCAGTGGAGTCAAAAACAGGTCCCAGCAACAACTGACACAGTGTGCAGATGGCACTCAATCATTCACCAACGAGTCCTGCTGCATCTCAGCAGTTCTAGGGATTTAACCCCTTTTTTCAAGCTCGTGTTCTTTCGGAGGCGAGACACAGTTTGGAAAGTAAACAAACAGCAGTGGCTGATAGTAACATAGGCAACTAGAAAATATTTTTACATGGAAATTTGGCTGCAGCAATGCTGCACAGAAGCAAAGCCCGATATGTAAATCATTAGTCCTTAAAAATATGCCACTTAATGAATCCAAACACAGCCATTAAGGGTTAGATACATAGCAAAGATGTTAGTACTTTCTCCTCTTAGCAAGGAGTACCATGATACAGCAAGGGCCCACGCAGTACGTGTTATCACTAAGGACCTTGAGAGAAGCTGGCATTAAAAGCTTCATTTTCACCAGAAACCTCCGTCAGCTTTAAGTGTCCCAGCATGACAGAGAAAAGATGAGAATACTTAACAATGAGCAACTCAAACTGGCAAAAGAGAGCCCCTGGCACACGTGTGTGTAGACATGAAACTCTACAAAACTATGCTTGCACTGTATTATTACCAATGTGCTGCCCCAGCACTAAGTAGTAGATTCACTTCCCCTAATTGAGAGGTTGGTTTGAACGGCTGCACTGGAGATACTCCCCATGGCTGAAGGGAACTCTGATAAAAAACTCCTTTGCTCTGGAATTTGACTGGAAGAGAGTTAACAGCAACTGAGACACCGTTTCAAACATCTGTAATTTTTAAATACTGCCTTAAGTATCAACAAATCAGACCGAGTTGCTCTGTTCCTATCGCATGCTGGGCTCTGCATTGTGTGGAGCTCTGAGAAAAAAGCCCTGCTTGTAAACCACACTCCTTCTCCAGGGCAAAGCCACTGGATTTGAACAAGAGCAGCCACGAGGCAGGAGCAGCTCTGACGCTGCCTTTATGTAACTGGGACTAACTCCCTGGTGTGCACACACAGAAAGGAGAAGCGAGTGTTCCTTTAAATCGAGGGGCTTTTTCTGAAGTATGCTAATGGAGAGTAGAAGGCAGACTTACACAGCATCTGCGGGCTAATGAGTTTTTTCAAAACCTAGCTCAAGGAGACAGGTCACTTAGGTTTGAGATTTATGACAGAAAATCCATAAAGTAAATAGTATTTTACTCAGTGTAACTTCTGGGCACTAAACCTTTACGCTGTTTAATTCTTTTTAAGTTCCTTTTTTTCTTGCTTTTTAGTGCCAAGCCAGCAGGCACACTCCCCCTCAGATCCTTCAGGCTGGATGTTATATTCATGGTCTATTCTCACCATAGAAGATCCTCATCTGTTCCTCCAAATCACCATTGTTTTTGAGACACAGCAGCGACAAGCTTTCTGAACACACGCACACAAACACGTCAAGCCACTTGGCTTTGCCTCGTAGGCACAGAGCAGCTCAGCAGAAGTAGAGGGGGGAGCTGTCCTTAAAAATCTAACACACCCTTTTTCTTGCCTTACGACAAGGCAGGACCAAGTGAGACCTTTACACTGAAAGAAGGCTCCTGTCATTTGACGTCAAGCATTTGTAGTGGTCTCCGTGGCACAGGACACTTGTCACATCCCCCATGTTTTCTTAAGCACAAGGCTTCAGCTCGGGAGAGTGGCAGAAGCTGACGTGGGGAATAAAAACTCTTATTGAGCAATTTTAAAAATAGACATCGTGACTGCTGGTGAATAGCAATTACAGAACAAAGAGCGATAAGCTATGTTGAGGACTGGGATTTACTCCGGGTGGTAGGAAAAGGCAGGCCTGCCTCCCACAGACATCTAGCAAAACCATGACTGAAGCCAAAAGCCAGAAGGAAGTCCCATTAGCAAATGGAAAAAGTGGAGCTGTCAGTTTTATGAGCGCAGCACAATTTCATCCGACTGTCGAAGCCTCGTCTCAAAAGAGTTTTACAGAACCCAAACCACAAGTGGAGTTTAAAAAGAGTTTTTTTTTTTCCTGGCCATCCATCCAGAAAGCAACAAGCTTCAATCCAAATTCAATTGCCAAGAAAATAATATCAAAAGTACTGGTAAATAACACTATCATTTTTCTTTCTTGGTTACGCCGTGCCGTTTGTTTCCGAAGGGCAGGGTGCAGCGAGCTGCATCTTGGCCTCTCCTGAATAAATGCTCTCTAGCAAAAAACTTCTTCCCAAGAAACTTACTGTGCATTTTGGAAACCAGCACGGGCTGCTCCCACAACTCTACATGCATATAATTTGCTGGGAGTGTTTCAGTGATCACAGATAACATTTCAGCTCTCCACTCATGTATTCGATTGGTTTTAGGGTTTTTTTGGGGGGTTGTTTTTGATTGTGTGGTTTTTTTTGTTTGTTTGTTTTTTTTACCATGACTTAATTTTTATCGTTAAGGTTTACTTTGGAAAGAAAAGACTCATGAGAGACTAGAGAACAAAGCAGATTTCCCCCTTCCCCCCCCATATTTAAAGAAATAGAAGAATTTGCTATTTAGAATAGCAGAAAAACTCTTTGGAACTATCTAGTAAGGTGAGGCTCTCAAGAAACACAGGGTTTACTGTTAGAATTACTAGATAGCACTCAGTATTTCCAGACAAATCACTTTCTTTCATGGAAAAGCTTCATCCATTTTTGAGGAAAAGGAGGGAAAAAATTTAAACGTATATCTTTATATTAAGAAAATACACTGGCAGAACAGCTGAAAGACAGTAGTGCTTGGTAAATAGCATCTGCTGTTTTACTAGCAGTCTTATGACTTGTTTCAATGTGGTGGCAGACAACAGGATAAGAAAGAAAAAAAACAGAAGAGAAATATAGTGGAAAGTCATCTGAGGAAAAAATGTGTACTTCCTTCTAAAATACCATCAATAACTTGTGAACAGGATGCAAATTCCTGACCCAAATGAAAAATTATCTGCAATAATATCTGACTGATGTACAGCATCAGTTGCAAACTATGGTGTAACACAAGAGGTATTTAATTCATCAAGAAAATAAATGACAAGAGCAACAAAAAGGGATTCAGAGCAGTTTGGTTGCATTATCACTTCAGGAAAAATGTGTTTCCTCAGGCTGATGAACGGGTCATGCACTGGCCCCTGAGGGTGTTAGTGACAAGGCAGGCAAATGTCATCTGAAGGTGATGAGATGACTGAAAATCATCTCCTGGCCCAGGGAGGCTTTAAATGCAGCCATGACTAGCAACTTCCTCTACCACTGGTTTGTTAGCCCACTTTCTCCCTACCTTTATTGTGCTGTTCTTGGAAGCCTATATAAATGTAGCAAACACTTTGGCTGCACTATCATATATGCTTCAACAAGCTGCATTCTTGTCCTCCCATCACCAGAGATATCTACCCAGCAGAGGATCTTTTTCCATCCCTGGGAAGTCCCTTATGAACTCACACCAACTGATTTTTGGCCCTTCCCGTTTAATTGGAATGGTTATTTACTCCATCTAGTTGTTCTGTGTTTTATTAATTTTGTTGTTTCGCACTGTTCTTACTTGTGCAGTCTCTGCATGTTCCAGCATCTCCTCAAATTCCTGGTATTCCTCATCATCAGGTTCAGCACCAGAGAGTCGGGCCGCCCTCGCCATAAAATACGGGGGCAGCTCTCCAATGGCTGTGCCAGCACCCTGGGAAAAGAGTAAGTCTGATTTATTTTTGTGTTTATTCTCAAATAGGAAACATGTGATATGCACAGTCCCGTGGACATTTCCAACCATCAGAACTGAGGAGACCAGCTGCTTTGAGAAGTTTGCTTTTATCCACCAGGTCAAATTTCTCCCGATTCAAAACCCCGTTTTCCCCTTTTCCTTTTTTAGCCAAATCCAGCTCCTCTCAGGGGGCAGGGCTGGGAGCCAGTGGCTCCTAAGCTGTGGTGCTGCCTGGGGCCTGGCCCCGTGTCCCACCCCAGCCCTGACTCAGCACCACGGCGCTGCCATCTCCCTCCCCATGTGATGCCAGACATCTGCCTGCATGTGACAGCCCGTGCTCCTGAGCAGCCTTCAAAGCCATCTGGGAACTCCTCCTGGGTGCCGTCACCTCCTGTACTTGCTCAGTCATGAGCCTGTGCAAGTGCCTGCTAGAAAACGGGCTCGAGCTTTACTACAGCTCTGAGCAAGGAAAATAAGGTTAAGCAAAGCTCCATCTCCAGTTTTCTCTCTCCTGTAGATAGAGTAAAGAAAGCCAAGGGAACCTGAGATGAAAGCATGATTGCTTTCTCACCACAGGAAAATTATATTTGTTTTCTCAGGACATCAAATGACTCATTTCAATCTTGTGGGTAAACGCAACTTTAGCTTAACCAAGGAAAAAGAGAAGAGACAGCTAAGACTGAGCATATGGATAAAGAGAAGCTAATGAAACAGGAACCTGGACTAAACCCAGAATGGTTTAAATAGAGGACAGGTAACAGCACAATAGTTGGGCAACACACTGGAAAGTGCTAAAAGTTAGTGACATGCAGATGGCTTTTCTCTCTTAGGGTCAGTACTGAGCAACAAATGCTTTTCTATTCCTTTGCAGCAGTGTGAAAGCTTTTGAATTTCCTTTGTTCCTGCTCTATATGCAGCTGCAAGCAAGGGAGAATTCCAGCTGCTGTGGAGATTCCAAATCAACAGGTTGCGGTTTGAAACACCGCCGCTCTCTGGAGCTACCCAGACTGTTAAAGGCTCAGTTTAAGCACACTAAGTGCACAGCCTCATATGTTTATGCCCTTGTTTTCCACAGAAGAAAAATTTAAACGAGTGCAACAAGCTGAACTTCATTAATCTGCCTATTTCTGGCACAAGGGAAGATATGCCTGAAAACAGTAGCAACAACATTTCAGAAAAATTAACTTGAGGTTATGTTTTCAGGGTGATGCAAGAACAAAAAGTCACATTGCTCCTCCAGACTCTGCCAATTTGCTTTGGCTTCGTTTTGTTCACTGAGGAAGAGGTTTGCATGAGCGTTCTGGACATGAACTTTCTTTAAATTGGATAAGTCACATGCTCATTCTTACAAAACATTTCGGAGGTGCAACAAAAATCATATGATTCCATGTCTGCTGGAGATAGGTTCCTTAAGTGCATTGAAAAAAAAAACAAACCAACATTAAAAAACCCCAGAAGCAATTAAGGCATCAAAACCAGTAACTATTTAACTGCTTTTTGTATCACTGGTTGTCCATTTTCACCATTTAACTTTGAATGCCAGTTTTACACAGAGATTCCTTGGGCTCACAACAAACTGGAAAGGCAAATGCTAATCAAAATTCTTTTACACAAATACATTCAGAAAAGGGGAAATTACTCCACTAGAAAGAGTCTTTTAAACAGATTTTATCCTGGTCAGGACACAGGCTGCCTGTTCTGCTAATCCTGAGCAATTAAACATTTTTATTCTTTCCCCTTATTTCTTGTAAAAGAAAAAAAGCTGCAGCACATTAAAAATGTAGGGGACTATTGAATTCCTTGTCCCTGTGGGATGGAAGGCTGTGAAAACTGGCATACACCTAGCAGATTGTTTTTTGAGAGTCCTGCTGCAGGCCAGGACTGGTGGAGCCAACTTTTTACAGTGATTGAAGAAAGCATCACTTTCATTTCACCCAATAATTCCTTAGATACAGTGATATTTAATCCTCGTAACACTCATTATCAGCAAAACCAGCTATCGCTGACATGCAGGGGACTAGTAATGATTTTAATCTCTGGAAAAAAAATGTACCTAGTTTAAGTTGGCTGCAACAGCCACGGATGTTTTTGTGATCCGAATCAAATCCCTTGTGCAGATAAATCCCTGCATTCAAACCTTGCAGGATACTTAGTCTGGGTAGCTTTATAGCCAGAGGTCTGCAAAGTTCCCACTGGGACTGACCTGCTTTCAACATTTCACATGAAGACTTACATTGCTACCACCCTCCTGTCTCCCTCCAAGTAATCAAGGAGATTGGACAGATTTCACTCTGGAGCCTTTGAACATAATTTCACTTTCCAAGTCTAAAGGCAACAGGCTGCTGGCATTGCTGAAGCTGTTCTGCACAGGGCTCCATGTGCTGCATCACAGCACATCTGTCTCTATCTGGTGACTCCTTTTCTTTTGCATTTAGCCAGCAGTTATCATAACTTCAAATTTTAAATGTAATTAGAAGTTGCTAGTCCCATTAAAAAAAAAAAAAAAAAAGATTGTTAGCTCATGCAATCATACCCAGATTAGGAATTAAATTTAATATTCCTGGTTTCAGTTTAAAAGAAGAAAATTAATTAAATTCCACTTCATTTTTTTTAATAAAGGTTTCAATTTGCAAAACTGGCCCTTTCACTTCGTGGAAGTCACCATTACTTTTAACCCAAGTGTCCATTTAACAGCAGAGTGACAGAATCAAAAGGAAGTTTCTTCAACAGCTACCATAAAAAGTGAACTGGAATTAGGACAAAAGAAACACTGGGAAGAAGCAGCAGCAATTGCCAACTTGATTTGGCTTACAGGAAATTAGCAAGCGATGTTTATGTACTCTTGAAACATTCCAAGAAAGCATAACATGACACTAGACACCACGGGCAGACAGAGGATGCTCCCAAGGGAAACACTCGTGGAGACAGAGCTCAGTGAAAAGGTAGCAGAGAGTGAGCTTGAAGGGGAGGAGGAAGAAAAGGGGGGGATGAAAGAGTGGGGTTCAAATGTTCCAGCTCAGTCCTGCTCCCTTGTCCTTCCCGAGCCTGCACCAAGAAACCCAGCTCAAATTAGAGACTGAAGGTACTGTCTGTTCTCCCTCATGGCTGCTCAGGGTACAGGCTCTCAATGCTTGCAGCTCTGTTAACTCATTTCTAAACGACTTCATTCTCCTCACAGCTCAGTTATTTTACATGCTGAAGATTAAGCAATGGATGTTTACCCTCAGCTACATTTTGATTTTGCAGCCCTAGAAACGTAATGGTAAATGCCATTTTTATTACTCTAGTCTCCACTAAACAAACATAAGCAGAGTGGGACAAGGAACAAAATAAAAAGAAATCTTATATTTATGGTCTTATAAGTACTTGTGTGTTTAGCTACTTACCAAGCATTCAGGAAATTCTATCGTCTCATTAGAAAAAGTGAAATTTAAGATGTACTTTGCTTCTTGAGAGGGCTGCAAGCCCACTTTTTCTGCTAGTGTTTTGACATAGTTTTAAAAGTTGAAGTGAACAAAATTGCCTTAATATACCTTATCATATCATTAGAAGGAACAGACATCAGATACCATGTATTTTCAGAATTTCACATCTCTACATTTGATTTAAACAACCAAGAAATTATTAATTAAATCATCAGAAGCCAGTAGGAAAACAAAGTCAATTTGGCATGCAGTTCACAGCAGATGCATCTGTGTAAACTTAATTCAAAATAACCTACACGTAATGAAAAAAATATCTTGGCTAATCAAAATCCTCCAAAAATCAAGCTTCTATAAAAGGCTGGGAGGGGGGGAAGGAAAATAGAAAGGAAGTTCCAATGACAGCGTTTCCTAAGACCCTGATTCAATTAAAAGCTAACTTGCTTTTCCTGTTTTAACTGAAAAGTTAGCCTTGATGGGAACAGGCAGAGAAACAGAAATAAAATACCTAAAAATGTGCAATGTAACACTCTCTTACTTAACCCAATCTATTGATGCAACACAGAAAAATATTTCTGCTATAATATTGGGGCCCGAGTCCTTCATATGAGTAACTGCAACTATACCCAGGTTACAGGCTCAACATGTTTGGAATTTATTGTTCAACTGAACGTGGGGTAAGATCTGACAGCTAGGAGGTCATCTGGGATGCAGGTAGCCTCTCTGAAACTTACCTCTCACATCAACAGCTTTGAAGTCCCTGAGCATTTTTTAGGTTTAGAAAAGGAGTCAATACAGCAGATGGTAAAAGATAGCCAGAAATATCCTATTACTTCTTTTTAAAGGACATTAAAATTACCCAGGGCTAGAAAGTTAATCAGTTAGGCATCTACTCACGTTGCCAATATAGATGTTACTGTTGGCAGGGTAACCCATCATTATTTGGCTAATTCAGGAATTTTTCTGTGTTGCTGGACATAGAAATTAAGTGCATAAATGAAAATGGCTTGAGTTTTATAAATGAAACCTTACCCACATGCAGGCCTCCAGCCTGACTTTTGAGATGATAGCCCATAAAGAGATGGATCCTTCAGGCACCTCCTCATCAGGGCAGATGATTTGATCTGGGTAGGGAGGCTCAGGAAAATCAACGGAGTTACATTCATATGCAGCAAGAGTAACCGATGCTATGTGTGGACCCTGCAAAAACCACAGGCAACTTCAGATGCATTTTATCTTAGTTTTAATAAAAGTTAAAAATATAACCTCACATTTGCCCCTAAAGCAAGAAGCTCAGGCTAAAATGTGTTTCGTGTTTCTCACTTTGAACATTAATGTTCTGCTTAAGGTATTTATGGCCTACAGCTTAATCAGAGCAGATGTTTTCCCTGTTGTTGCTTTTGGAGGATACAGGAATTTAAATTGTGTTATTTATTTTTTTTTAACAACTGGGACTTTGTGACATCTTACAGTGAACCTTCTCAATTTTTGGATCTTTCTCTAAAAACCAGTTGCTTAATTTGTGTTAGTTCTCCTGAGTATACAAGAAAGTGACCTTACCACTGTTTGCTAAAAATGCTTTGAAATATAATTCAAAATTTAAATGTTATTTAAATGCTATATAATTGAATTACTTCTAGTCTCCATCTTACATTAGAAGTTTTTTTTTTTCAAGCCTCCAAATAAAACTAGCATTAAAAAATCTATTCAAAAATTGAACTGCTGCATACTTAAAAAACTTGAAAGAATTGCCATTATTTTAATACAAAAGACGTGAGATATAAAATTATCAATTCAAATAATCTATGGCCTGAATGCTAGAGGTTGTAGCTAAGAAAGAAATCACATAGCAAGATGTCAGGGAAACATTATCTGGGGAAGAAAGAAAAAAAAAAAAAAAGTACTGAGTTAAACTAAGGTCTTTTCGTAAAATCACAGACTTAAATAAATTTTAAAGTTTAGTTACACAAACCTTAACTTCTGTTATTAATTATTTGATGGGTTAAGATGTTATGTTGGGAAACAAACTGTCAACTGTTTTATTCTCCGTTTTTTCCTTGAAATGAGTCATGTTTTACTAGACCTGAAAGGGAGCCTGATAGTCCTCACCCAAATCACAGCTGAATTTATTAGGGAATAGGGAGTGACAGTGTGACAGCTCAGCACTGCCAGTCCCCTGCACAGGCTCCCAGAGCTCACTTGGAAATGCAGGAGCCAGAGTAGGTTCTGAGGAGCCTGCAGGCATCATTTGCACATTAAAGTGGGAAATTCCAGAGCAGATCTCACACAAAAGGTGAAGCTCTGTGGCTTTTTCGAGACTTGCAGGCAAGAAGATTTGAGTTGGGTTCACTCAGTCAACATTGCAGGTCCCACTGAAGAGCCCAGAGCACTGGACTTACCCAATGACCTCGATACTGTAATTCTTTTGGTGACAGTGAAATCAGCTTGGAAAAAAAAAAAAAAATCTATATTTCTGTATGACAGCTGCAACTGTAGTTGTTATATGTAAACACTTCAAAATAAAACCATTCTTCTGGCACACAACTGGTAAAAGATGAGCCGCCCTGACACCCAGCAAATCCTTTTATATATTCCTTGTTACTTCATAGGAGACTAATTCAAAGTGCTGTGGATTATATGAATACCTAGATGCAGCCTGCTGAGATAAATGAGGCACAGAATCTCTTGCACAAAAAAAAAATAAAAGGTTCTTTGAAGTAAAATGGAAAAAGAGGGGATTGAGCAATCAATTCAGAGGAGTGATTTTGCTGGGGAAGGGAGGACAAAGAAGGGATGGCTGGATCAATGACTAACAGTGTATACTATCAACACCTCCCTAGGTCCCAACGGCAGTGAACCTCTTTGGTTCTTGTAGCAACATCATCCCTGTCCCCAGCAGCTTCCTACCTAAACAAATAACACATCTCTATTTCACTCATTGAGCACAGATGCAACAAGAGAGAACTTCCCTAAAATTGTAAAGTACATTTATGGCAAACCTGGGACCTTCTTTCTCCACTGTACTCTGAAACTTAGGGAACCAAATCCCCTCCCCAGGCTGACAGCTACCTTGGGACAAAAAAGGGCTCAGTCATCTTCCTGAAACAAATGGTTTTCACCTGGAGAAATTTGCAATAAAATTCTCTTGAATAACAAATTTGCATGGAGGAAATCCCCACGTACTGGAGTTGTAAATGACCATTTCCTATGTTCCCTTGAGAGTCAGGGTAAGGTCGTTGCCAAGGCAGTGAGATTTGGTGTGTGAATCAAGAAGTATGGCTTTCAGTTCCACAAAATTTGGAAGAGACACCACACTGCAGTGTAACTACAGCCAGCTGCAATGGGAGACTGTTTCAGTTCTATAATACAGACAAATTTAATCACTACTATAGCGAGGCTCCCACCTCCTTCCAAGGTTTCAGTGATGGCATTGGCAGCATTTCTTCTCCAACCACACACAAGGTGTGTACACAATGCCTAACTTAAGACTGCTGCATGAGCTCCCTCCTTGCCATGAGCAGCTTCTCTCAAGCGAGCTGCCATCCTAGAAATGGCTTAATGGTCTCAAAACATTGCCTTAGCAGGAGTTAAGAGAGCTCTCCCAGCCTCAGCAAATGTCTGCAAAAGGAAGAATTTTACAAGAAGGAGGCAATGGAAAAAAAAGCATCTCAAAAAGCAGCTGTAAATGGCCAGTGAGCCACCTGAAGACTACACTAACCGAATGTAATGCTCCCACGGCAAGGTAAACAATTCTATCATGGAAAAAAGTTGGAGCTCTGGAAGCCACAGAAGCCACATTTTAACTGGAATAAGAAATAAAGCATAAACGGTTCATTTCCAGTGACGAAGTGTGGAGTACTGGAACCCGGAGCGAGCCAAAGGAAAGCAGAAGAATCCTGTGTCCTCCTCTGGCAGCAGAGCCCAGCTGTCCTGCTAGTCCAATGGACAACGTCCCTCAGCTTGGCAGGCTGCACACAACATCTCTGACATCTGCTTTTGTTCTAGCTGGGCTCAGCAAGCTTACATGGAGCATTATACTTTCACAAAGCCGTGGTTACCAAGCACCTCAAAACAATGGTTGGCTAAACAGGACCATGGTTGCAGTGGGGGTGGAGGGAGGGTCACTGGATGTTTCATAAGACAGCTGCCATTTTGCTTTATATTTAGCAATAGTGATGGTTTAACTCTGACTGAAAGAGGGAACCAACTTCAAATGGGCTTTAGGTGCCACCTTTGGTAAATCCCAATCAACATAAGCTCAGATGTTTCCTCCATACTCCTCCCTGTGCCAGGAGTATTAATTCTCATACAATTTTTTAATCCTCTTCACAAATAATACCTCCTCCACCCTCTCCTCCTTCTCCACGTGGGGCCACAGTAAATACTCAGAGTGTTTTGCCTGTCTGCAACAGCTCAGTTTACTTCAACACTTGAGGAAAAGCTCTGAGAGAGCCCCTCTGACTCTAAGAGCAGCTCAACCTTTGAAAAGGGCATTTGCAGAACTACTTCAAACCCTGTCATAGCAGACAACAAACACTAAACCCAGGCCATGGCGATTTCATAGGCACCCTGCTTGCCAAAACAGGAAGAGTCACTGAAATTCAAGGCATGTAAGACCCTGAACATCAACTGTCTGTCCTCACCCTCTTCCAGGGATTTTTTTTTTCTTTTAAAGGAGGCACTAGGAAGGGCAGAGAAGAAATTGAGAAACATTCTGCTGACTCGGGTGAGGAACATTTGCTTGCCACTACTGACGACCAGAAGGAGCCTGTGGTTAGGCTGGAATGCGATTTGTTAGAAATATCTGTATAATTTACAAATCAAGCAAGACAAGATCTGGTCATCAAGAACAACTCAACATAAATCTGTTTTTTAGCAACAGTAATTTAAGGGAGTTTGGAAATCCCTATCTACACCACCCTCATGTCTCAGAGAAGGTAACCTCGAACTCTTGAACTCACAGGCCTTCAGAGAAGTTTTAGTTCAGTGACTGAAGGCAGCCAAGTTAGAATAGATGCTGCTCATCCCTAGAAATAAGTTCACTTTAAATGCTGTATCATGAAATTTTTAGAAAGTACAATCTTTTTATCTGTAAATCATGCTTGGAAGTTCATCAGTACAAGTAGGAGGAGATGGCAGGCACACGTAGAAAAAAGGCAAGAAATTAAAATCCTTAAAAATATGCTGGTAAGTGTCATTCTTACAACAGAAAAGTCTTTACCATAAGGAAAAATGGCTGAATAGCCAATTAAAAATAAATCTTTTTTCACATTATTAATCATTCTGTGCACCTACACTGTGAACACCATTAACACTATAATCAAACTCCACATCAAGTGCTGGTTTCTCACATGCCTCTTCACAGAACAGCCAACCTGAAGCGACACGAGCACAAAAACAACCACATCTAATTTTAACCTTTTATTTTAGGGGAAGATATAATTTTAGACTGGCTCTAATTTAGAAGCATTTCACAAAGGCAAGTGATATGTCTGCCAGCAAGCAAAATACTACACTGAACTCGCTGCTGAACTTAATGCACTAAAAATCTGTTTTCTTCCATGGATACATCACTTCTCATACTGGGTTCAAGACTCAGCCCTTCCACAGGGGGGAAACATGTCATGCTATATTTGATTAAGATAAATGGGAAAAACAAAAGCTTGCTTCTCATGGGAAACATCCTGCAAGCGTTGCCCCAGGCTGCGACTCATCTCATACTTATCCATGAAGTCATTACACCTCTCAAGAAAGTAACAGCAGCTACAGCATCTTTTTATCTCCACGAGCAATGGACAACAACCCACAAAGAAAAACGCTCTGTGATTAAGAGACAAAAGCTTGATCTGGAGATGACTAGTAAACATGTCAATCTAGTCTGTCTGTCTGTGCTACAAGATTAAAACATCTCATGATTTTACAGGATGTCTGGTATGCAGGGCTGGCTGTAAAACAGGACTCAGAATGAAGAAGGATCCCTACCCAGAGCATCCTCAAGTGACACCCACATCCACCAAGCAGCCCGGGCTAGTTTTAGCAGGCTCTCATGGCATTTCAGGCCATGTATTAACTTTACAATCACGTGTTAGCCAGTTTCTATTCCCACTTCAGTCAAGCCCTGCCCCACAATGCAGAGCTGATGGAAATTCCAAATGACGAGCCCCAAGCTCCAAATATGACTGAAGAACCACTGAGGAGCA